TGAAAGTAATTTCAGTGAAGAAGTCTTAGTGCACTGACACAAAGAATCAGCTTTTCTGCTGCCTTCCTGCCTGTTTGCATCAAGTTAATGTGGCACTAGGACCAAAAGCCAGCAAAGCCATCATCTTCTACACTTTATCATTCAGATGTTAGAGTTTATACACAAGAGTTTATAAAACAAATGCACACCGTTTTATTTCAGGAGTCTAAAACCTGTGTTTAAGGTAATATCTCAGTGGGCTGGTGGTGATTTGTTGGAGTATGATATTCCAGTGGTAGTCTCAAAAGTACAGTAGTCCCTCGATATTTTGCGGTTCGACTTTCGCAGACTCACTGTTTTGTGGGTTTTCAATGCAAGACTGTACACAACACACGATTGGCTGATTGATGGAAGGTGACCAACCAGAGCATTGTGCTCTGTATCCCGGATGCTGAATGGCTCAGTAACTGTAACATCTGTCTGCTCGCTTTTGCTGCGCTCTTTAAGGACAAGGCAGTCAGGTCCCTGTCAAGGGACCGTACCTCTGACAGCTATACGGCCCTCCCCAACCTCCTTCCCTCCCCATCCGCACACCTTCGGGTGTGCATCCAGGGGGGGGCGCCTTCTGCAGTCGAGCCTGCGGTGCTCTCGGGACGCGGTTGCTGGTGGAGACCTTTCTCCGCGCTGCCCGTGTCCTCGCACTCGCCTCCACAGGACCGGCGGAGGAGACCCATTCAAGCGGGGGAAGGAGGGCGGAGGCCACCGTGTGGGTGACGCCTTCTGGGAGCACCCCCGCCTCTGTTGTCAGACCCCGCCACCCACTGCCTTGAACTCTACCAGTGCAATGCTCGCTATATAAAGAAGGACGATATATATGGTAGAGTTGCATTCTGGCACAAAAAGTCCGATCTGACCCGGCCCCAGCCAGCCATAATTTCCGAACCCCACCCGACCCAACAAATTAACTGAAATTACAGGTCCGAACCAGAAAAAAGCAGACATTTTTAATTAAGCTTTGACTGCTTATATAGTTATTAACTGTCGGCGGAAGCGCACGCGACTAAGGGGGCAGAAGATCAGAGCTGAGGGGGTGTTTGTCCTTTCATGGCTGTCAAAGTGCATTAAATCCCTGCTTCTGCCTGCATTCTGCATTATTCAGACACTTACCCTGCTCTGACATGTCTAATATTTTGGGATCTCACCTGTTTGGATCGTTGGCCACGTGCGTCTGCTGAGTGCAGCGGCTGAGTGAACGTCCATTTGGGCTGATGGATCGCTGGCAGTAGTCCCTCTGAAGCTTAACTGAACTTTTTACCTCTTTCAAGGCCGGTCAGCGCGCTGTCAAATGGCCCCGTGTGGCTGGAGATTGTATGGCAAGCCATGTTGCCATATATTTGGATCGTCAGCCGCGCGCATCCGCTGACGCAATTAAAAGACCGACACGGCCCACACATTAAGCACATTATTATGGCCCGGCCCTAATCCGAGTCAGGCGGGGCCAGGCGTGGGTTAGAAATGACAGCTTTAATATACGGATATAAACACTAAAATATATATAACATCCTTGCTTTGTGGATGTTCACCTTTTGCAGGGATGTCTAGAATGTAACCCCTGCAATAAGTGAGGGACTACTGTATTGGTAAAATTTTGCAAGTCTAGACACAGGACAGTGTTCTCCTCTGACAGAAAAAAAAATGTCCAGGTCTACAAACCACACCAATGATAACTGTGACAAAAACTGCTCCTAATCTGCCAGTCTTTTGTGTATTTGAGTTAAATGTTGCGTCTTTATCTAGTCAACGACTTCACTTGTAGATGGTGTGTGTGTGTGTGTGATAGTGCTTAACACGTTTAGTTAATGAATCAATCATCCTATTAACATTTGCTGTGTAAATAATTTGCAACCTGATCAAATGAAACTGTGCAGGTACTGGAATTTTGACATGTGTAACTTATGCCAGTATAAAATGCACAAACTTTAATCTGGTGTCAGGCTGTGACAACTTTCAGTGCTCTTCTCATCTCTGCCTCCTCTTCCTGCTCAGAGGCAACTATTTATCTTGTCACTCTTGGATCCTGTCGACCATCAGTCACTTAATCATCAAACATTCACACCGACAGACTCCCTCCGAGCCGTCAGCGATGTCCGGTGGCACATACAGCATGTATTCAGCGCTCTATTTACCCACTGACGGACCTTTACCCCGACAAAACATATTTCTACATCACACAAGGATTTCAAAAACTGTGCAAGTATGGAGCCAGGCAACCCTGCAAAACTGCTGAGCCAGCAAGGAATTCTTTGCCGAGGCATTTTTTGGTTGGCTCCGTCTAAATTATTGATGAAAGTAAAGACAGTTTCCAAACAAAAACTCATATCACTTTATCATAATAGAGTTTTTTTTATATACTGCAATTGTGTTTTAGCTAAAGTAAATCTGTGTGGGTCACCGATGTTCCTCAGATGATTAAGTCTGCACTAACAGATCAGAGTTTTATGCAACTCCTAACACAGAACTGCACAGGCTTCAACAGACCAACAGAAACCCTCACATAAACATTCTCTGACATAAGATCTGTCCTGTGGCTCTGAAGTTCTGAGCAACAACCTACATATTGGCCAGCATATGACCCTTTACAAAACCACGGCAGATTACGCAACTCCCAAGCAGATCCGTGTGTGACTGCTCCAATGGAGATTTCTGCGAAGGTCAATATGTGTGAGCAAGTTCTGACTCAGGCTTGTAACTTTAATGGTATGAAAAAGAAGTAAAAACAAAAAATCTTGGGTGTGGACAGTACAAGCAGAGCATCGGGCCATAAACACATAACTTCTACACTCTCAGAAGGACAGGTAGATTAGTTCAAAATAAAACATCCCTCTCTTTTCTGACTGCCCTTCACTAGAGGCAACCAGCATATTGTCCACACATAACACACTTTACAGAGCCTTTGTTCAAGTGAACAACAGAGTTTGTTCCAGATCGCCCCGAAAATAAAGAGGCAATAAAGTCTCCTTCTATCCTGAGTGCACATTGCATAAGTGGTTGTGACTCGGCAGGCTGGCTGTAGTACTAACTAGCCAATAATGACCGATAAGAACATCCATAAAATTGAAGGCCTAGCATTCTTTGCGGGAATGCATATCGCCAGCTTACTTTCATGCACGAGTTTAATTCTAAGTTCATCTTGTGTTAAGAAATTGTGAGGTTGTAGTGTTTTGGTTAAGTCTTAAATATGTGCAATCGGATACAAAATTGTGAGATACGATGCTCAGAGTTTGTGTTGCGAATGACTCTCAGTTACCACCACATTAAACTGCATCTCAATATCTGTAAAATTGGCCAGATTATAGCAATTTCTGTGATTTCTAAGATCAAATGAGCTGGATTGAATCTAAATGTTATTCACTTGTAGGAGGTGCATCTAATAACAGTTTCTTAAAGATTTTATTAAAATTCATTAGATAGACTGTTGACTTTAAATAGCTACTAGCAAAATGTCAAATAAAGATTATATGCAACCTAACAGTTCTCAGAATATGCTATCAGAATCAGTTTAATATAGTATCGCACCAAGTTTTAGATCAAGAGCTGCAAAATTGAATAAGATTTTGATGTTCTTAAAGTCAGTTGACTGTGGCGGTCATCTTAAATCAGGTGGACTCCAAAAGTCATTCGGCTGTAGATGTGCATGATTACATTCTGCAACTTTTATTTGAATCCATCCAGTAGTTTACAAGATATTTTGGTAAAAGGCACACACACAGCATTCAGCAAAAAGTATGATTATGTACCACCAGAAAAATTCTGATAGTTTTTTTTGTATACTCTGAAATTTAAAAAAAGTCTAAAAACTTCAATAAACTAGACTTTTTATTTTCTACGCGTTATAAATCCAGTTAATATGAAATAATTTCATTTAGTGGCTGCCTTTTCCTCTGACATAACTCCCCAAAACATCCCTTTTCTAATGATCTAACATTATACAGCTCAACATGTTTAATAAGTGCACAGGAGACATGACCTTGGGACTTTAATAAACTTCATACTTCATCAAAACAAAATCAATGCATTCAGTCACAAACGAATACAAGCGCAGAAACCAGAGAGCTGTTCAGAGAGCAGCTTCAGTTCCGTTCAATCAACTATTAAAAGGGTTTAAATCCGTGTTAATGCGTCCACATGAACACACGATGTGCGTTCTTCAATAAAGAGGTTTGATGCTAAAAAAAATATTAAAACAAACAAAAAAAAAACAGCTTTGTCCCGAAGCGCTGCAAACTCATGTGGAGAAATGTGTGTGTGAGAGACGGTGTGTGTGTCTGTGAGTGTGTGTGTGTTCAGCTTTAAGAGGAGGAAGACTACGGTTGTCACAGAGAGAAGTAGGAAGATTAGCTATCAGATAGCAGAACCAACAGCGGTGCCACGGGGCTTAAAAGCGGGCAGCCGTGTCCACCATTAGCGTCTCACCGGGCAGCACACCATCCAGAGCACCGCCAGCCCTTTAAAGACTAAACCCAGCCCACACTACATGTGCAGCTAGCCGGCTTCTCCACCTTCTGACACCGCCTAACGCTAGCTACGTCCACAAACAAAAACACACGGAGCCTTTTATTTAGTTCCTTTAGCCTAGCTTAAAGCAGCTGTAGCATCAACGGCTGACACGAGCACACTTCAAGTCCAAAACTAAAACTAGTGAAAGTCCCCCCGGCACTGCCCCCCCCCGCCCCCCACTTCCCCCTTTAGACAACCAGATTCAGAACCGAGCCCGAACCGTTGACCCGCCTGTGCCCGCTTGAACCCCCGATGCGGGACAGCTCAAAAGGGAGGCACAAACTTTCACCCTAAAAATAATAAAAAAGTCGGCTCACGGCGGCACGGTTTACCTGCGTCTCTCCCCCCACGCTGCCTCCCGAGGAAGAAAATCTTCATAAATTTCACCGAACCGGCCCACGGACCGAGCGAGCCGCCCCGACGAACCGAACCGCCGCCGGCGACGTGACGCTGTTAATCCTCACCGTCATTCAGCGACTTCTATCGCTCAAAAACAGGAGCGGCTGTCATTTTCACAGCCCGGTGTGCCTCAGAAAGGGTCAAAATGAATACATTTCGGCTGAGCTAGCCCCCCCTTCTCCTCCCCGGAGCTCAACCTTTGGCTCTGCGGAGAAGTGTTACTTTTCAACAGCCCATCAGCTTCTTTATCGTCACAGATAGGTGGAGGAAAACCTGGCTCCTCTCGTCGCGTCCGAATAAAAGGCTCCCCTCGATCCACTCACTAAAAAAACTTAAGCGTCGCATAAGTCAACTTACTTTGGAGCTTTGGCACCCCTTCTTCGCCGATGGTCGACCGGGGAATGTTTAATCCGCAGTTAACCTCGATAAATCGTTGCTTTTTGAAATCCAGGGGATATCCTCTTTTTTTCGGCCCTCCCCGCTGCCGCGTCTGTTGCCAAATAATGCGCCTCAACACACATGGAGCCGCTGCGTCCTCTTAGTGGGCATGCGCACCTCGGCACCGGATCACATCATGTAAACCAGTGACCACCAAGGGCCAGAGCAGGACAGCCATGCCAGGGCCTCCAGGGTCCTCAGAGTGACACACGCACGCACAGGATGTAAACAAACACTCAAAATACCCCATAACCAAGATATATAGGCTTATATCCCCCAAACAAGATGCAAACTTACTCTAATCAATGGTGGATACGTTCAAATCACAGCGTCTTATCAATCAACAAACAGGAGTTGCAAAAGTACACGAGTAGGAAATCCAGAAGGGTCCAGACCCAGGTCTCAAGAAGCACAATGTCCACTGATTAGCTGCTGATATGTTAAGGAATTTGCACCAATAAAGTTAAAAAGTTAGCTAGTTTGGGTCCTGGGTTATTTCTAAATGCATTCAGAGCCCTGTGTAACCACAACCTCAGTATGATAAAGTTGGGATGTGTAAAATGTAAATAGCAAAAAAAAAAAAAAAAAAAAATTCTTTGCTAATTTCATAAACCCATATTTTATTCACAATGGAATACAGTAAACATATTAAACGTTTAGAATTTGTGCTTTTTTGAGTAAAACGTGGTGATCTTGAATGTGATGGTAGCAACACGTCTCAGAAAAGTTTATCAGGGCCATGCTTACTTTTGTGAAGCATCCCGTCTTCTTTTAACAACAGTCACCAGTGGCGACCATCTGCTGGAGTTTTGGAGGAGAATGTTTGTCTCGTTCTTGTCTGATGTTCAACAGTCCTAAGGTTTTCTTTGCTGGGTTTTTTGTTTCATGATGCAGCAAATGTTTTCAGCTGGTGAGACGTCTGGACTGCAGGCAGAACATCTCAGCACCTGGACTTTTTAATTGCCATGTTGTCGTAATGGATGGAGTTTGTGGTTTAGCATTGTCTTGGTAAAATTCGCAAGAACTTCGTTGAAAAACACTGTCTGGATCAGATCATATGTTGTTTTAAAACCTGCATGAATTATCTGCATTGATGGTGTCTGTCCACTTGTATAAGCTGCTCATACTATAGGCACTAATGCACCCCTATACCATCAGAGAGGTCAGCTTTTATATGCTGGTAATAGACTGGATGACCCCTATCCTCTTTAGTATGGTGAATTGGGCTTTAGTGGTTTCTAAAAACAATTTACAATTTAGATTTGTCTATCACAGAATGGTTTCCTACTTTGCCTTAGTCCATTTTAAATTACCGGTAGATTTGACCCACAGACTCAGAGCATTGGTGTTTTTGGACGGTGTACAGATATGGCTTCTTTTTTGCATGTTAGGGCTTTAACCAGCGTTTTTGAACGGCACAAAGAACCATGTTTATGATGAGTGGAGGTGTTCCTGAGCTCATGCGGTGATGTCAGAACAGAAACAGACCGGTATTAATACAGCCCTGTCTGAAGGCCTGAAAATCACAAGCCTCCAATACAGACGTTCAGGCTCGTCATTTTAGCTCAGAGATTTCTTCTTTAAATCTTTTGATATCATAAATGGGATAAAATGAGATATTCAAAGTTGTCACAATTTCTTGTTTAGGAACAATATTCAAAAATGGTTTAGCTCTTTTAAGACTGTTTTTGCAGTCTGGTGAACCTCTGCTCATCTTTACTTCTGAGCGATTCAGCTTCTCTAAAATGCTTTACTGTATATCCAGTCCTCTTATTGACCTGTTGCCAATTAATCTAATTAGTTGCTAAATGCTTCTTCGACAGTTTTTTAAATTCTTATCACTTATTACAGCTTTTTGTTGCCACTTTCCCCACTTGCTGTTTTTAGATATGTTGCTGCCATGAAATTCAAAATTGCTTCTTTTTTTTAAGTCAGCTTTAAACAGTTGATACATCTACTATATTTATTTGTGAATAAAAAATGGGTTTATACGATCTGCAAACCATTGCATTCTGCTTTTATTTAAATTTAACAAAACAATGCAACATTGCCTGAATTGTATAGTTGTAAGTAGGATGTGGTGGACTTTCTGCTCACACAGCTCACAGTAATGGATGTGTTTTAATAATAATAATATTAATAATAATAATAATGTGTTATGTATTGTCAAAATTGTATGTTCCCATACAATGGCAAAATTGGCTCTCTGCCCATCCACCACCAGGTGAAGCAGTGGGCAGCTATGGAAAGCGCCCGGGGAGCAACTGGGGATGAGGTGTCCTGCTCAGAGACACCATGAGATGTGCAATGACCGGGGATCGAACCCAGGACCTTCGGGTCCCGAGTCGGCTGCCTCTACTGCATTCACAAATGTAAAGCTGTAGGTACTGATAAACACTCTCAAGCACTTTATCAGCTGGGAATTGCTATGGTGTTTCAAAGGTTAATTAATTTAAGCCCCATAATCTTAGGAAAATAAAGCAATGACATAAAGTGCTGTAAATACACAAATTGTATTTATATGAGTAGGATTTATATTGCTCTCTCCTAATAAAGTCCAGCATCCTCACAAACACATCAGTCTGACCCCAAATTAAGATAATGATTAAGAGCTGTAATGTGTAATGTAGCAGCTGTAGCACAATCTCATGTAATTCACAAGATGTGGCACGCAGAGCATGTGCTGTGAACGACTCTCAGCTACTACCATGTCAAACTTCAGATGATTATATGTAACATTTACCGAGTTATAGACATTTTTGTGTTAGCTTATATTTATTGGCTGTGGTGGCCATCTTGAATTGGACTAACTCCAAAAGCTAATCAGCTGTAAATGCACATCTAGTGATTATTTTCTCCGAGTTTCATTAAAAATCTGTCCACTGCTTTACGAGGAGTTCTAACAACAGACACACAAACGCACATGGGCACACAAGACATTATCATCCACCTTCATCTTTTGGTGACAGGTGATAATTCTCTCATCATACGGCTTTTATATAAGCAGTTATGTCCTCATTCACCATCACGGTCTAACAGATGTGATCCAAGAGTCCATGAACTACAACAGCACCGTCTATTTATGTCTCGCTTTACAGCAGGGATCAAACAAGGTTTGCTTTAATGAGAGATCAGCCAGGCCCACAATTACAGTCAGATCCAAACATGCAGGTCCAGAACACTCACAGCAGGGACCCTACATCAGTGGTTGAGTTGGCTCTGTTAAGAGTCCAATTGGCTTCTTCTTTCATGATATGACCTGCCTCCGTTCAAAGCATCCCTTCCTGTGAAAAACTCATCTACACACACACAGACTTAAATACGAGCATGTAAAACTGTGATCCACGCAAGAAACAGCCTGAAGAGGTTTTTTTTTTTTATAAATTCTCCAACAGAAGTGCTTTGTCAGCATGTCGTTCTTTAAATGACACAAAAAGAGTTCTTTCTGGATGTTGCTGTGTCATCAGCTCTGATTGTTTGTGTCCTCTCATCCCACTCAATCTCCGGAAGCTAAACTGTTTGTGAAAAAAAGCAAAGGTGGATAATAATTTTATTTCCTGTGTTGTGTGCGTGTTTGTGTACGCTGTTACTAAAACGTCTCGTGAACTGATGAATTTTAATTAAATTCTCGGAAAATTACCATTGGATGTACATTTACATCTGGCATTTGGAGTCAACCCAATTCAAGATGGCAACCACATCCAACATGATGTTAGAAAACTCAAAAATGAGTACAGCTCTGTAAATTGGACAAAAATTGACTTTAATTTTGGTCTTTAAAGCCGAGATTCATGCCTGATATGCAACTCTAAGTGCTAACAGATTGTGTAAGTTGTTTATGAAAATATCTCATGAACCACAGGATGGCCTTTGATGAAACTTGTAAGAAAATATTTGCTTAATGTACATCTAACTGAATAAAGTTTGGAGTCAACCCAGTTCAAGATGGCTGCTAGAGCCAAATGACCTAAAAAAACACAAAAATGTCTCAGTCTTACAGATGTTGAGCTAAAATTAGGTGCGATGGTAGATTAATACATACTTTTGACATCTCGCAATTTCAGTTTTAACTTCACCAAAATGGCCATGACTCCCATCATTTATCAAGAAGTTCTTAGAGATTAAAACTCTGGTGTGAAAGGTGAAGGGCATTTCTTTAAGGAACGCTGAACCTTTTATTTGTAGATGTGATGTTTCCCTGGAGCTGCATGTGATATTGTTAGATTGCTGTACATAATATCAGGGGTCGTGTGTTTTAAGCATCATAGATCACAAAAAATAAAATAAATAAAACCATATTGAACAGTTGTGAGATTTTCTTGCTCAGTGATTTAAAACTTGATTGTTCTGAGAAGATGATTTCAGGTGTAAATATGTGAATATATGTATAATTTGGCTGTCGGAGTTCCTCCTGTCCAGGTGAATGCCTCCAGCCTCCTCGGCGCCGAGCACGTCTAATGGCCGCCAGTTTCAACATGACAGCTTCATCTTAATCCTCATTAAACACTGTAACAATGCAGGAAGTAGCTGCTGCAGTCACAGGAAATGACTCGTCTCAGCTGCGGCGTCCAAGACACCTAGAGCGTCCCGGATCTTTTCACAAGTTCTCATAAAAACACTCCTCTCTGCAGAACGAAAGTACTGAATATGAGAGTTTTAAGGAAAAACACGTAGTTTGTGTGAACAGATTTAATGCTGCTGGAGGTCTCTGCTTATCGATGTAGATCAGACGAACAGACGGTT